GACCCAGCACCCACACAGTGACACCCCCCCCGGCAGTGGCACCCCAAGGACCCTGCACCCACTGGGTGACGCTCACCCTGGCAATACCTCCCGTGAGTCACTGCAGGAGACATCTGGCCAGCCCACCCCCGCACCCCCCAAATTGGCCATCCCTCCAGCCCCTCCCAATGCCCCCCGCTATGCCTAGCAGTGGGGGGGGGCCGCCTCCACCCCCCCCCCGGCTCGGGGTCCCCCATGCAGAGAAGCCAGGGTGCACGGGGATCCGGGGAGCTGCACCCGCAGACGCGCTGGGATCTGCTGGAGTCTCCCCCGGTCTGGCTCAGTGTGTCCCTTGCAAGGGTGGGGGGCACCCAGGGGTGGGGGGCAAGGTCCCATGGGTGTCTCTGGTACCGCTGTGCCAGCAGCCCCCCAAGCAGCCTGCTTCTTCCACTGCCCCCCCCCCCCCCCGCCCCGAGGCCAATGCTCACCCCAGGCTCCCCACCGCCACTTTGGGGTACAAGCAGAGCCCCCCCAGCCTGGGGACGGTCCCTTGTGCCACTCAGCTGTGACGGGCTAGCAGTTGCCCCCCCACACCCCAAGGGGCCAGCGCTCTGCAATGGTTCTGTGCCTCAGTTTCCCCATCGCTAGAACAGGGCCGGGGTGGGGGGACAGACGATGACTTTCCCCACGCTGGCTGTCAGTGGTACGCAGAGGGGGGGACCCCCACAGTGAGTTGCCCGTGGCTACCAGCCTGGTGCCGGTGGGCCGGTGGGCACGAGGCCAGCCCACCCAAGCTCGCCCGCCGCCGCGTGCCCGCGCGCTCCGGCTCGCTTGCTCTCGCCCGCTGCTCCGGCGCAGGTGGGGAGCGAAGCGGCGAGAAAAACAATCGAGAAGAGGAAAAAGGAAGAAGCGACAGCGAGAAGCGGGCGAGGAGGAGGAGGAGGAGGAGGAGGACGGTGCTGGCAGCCCCACCGGCGGTGGAGGGCGGGGGGGCGGCTCGGGGCACCTCGGGGGCACCCATCGCAGCCCCCCCGTGGACTTCTAGGTGCCCACCCTGAAGTTCACCGGCATGGCCAAAACCACCTCGCTGCACTGCCGGGTGGTGGAGGGGAAGGACCTGCCCGCCAAGGATGTGTGAGTGGCTCGGGGGGGCTCTCGGTCCCCCAATTTCCCCTGGCCCCCCACCCTGGGAGATGTGGCAGGGGGGTTGGTGGGAGCCCTGGGTGGCTCTGCTCTCTGTGCGGTTTTGGGGGTCCCTGCTTGCACCCATGCTAGCAGGGACCCATTGCTGCAAAGGGGGGGTCTGGGGGTGGCAGGGGACTGCCAGCCCCCTCAGCCCCCCCCCCACCAGAGGCGTATGAGCCCCCCAACCCCTTAAGCATCCCTTTGCTGCCCCCCAGCAGGGTGGGCACAGGGTATCCCCCCAAGGCTGTGGGTAGCACTGGGGGGGGCACCCCTACATACCTGCTGGGCATCCGCACCCTTGGGGTGAGGGGCTAAGTGAGGGGGGGGAGTGGAAAGACCCCCTGCCCGCTCCTGCCCCACGGATATGCCTCGGCAGAGCTGGCAGCCCCGGGCTCCTCCGGATGTGCCAGCCTGGCAGTGCCGGCCGCTCCCAGGGCTGGGCAGCCGGGAACAGCTGTGGGCAGCGGGACCTCCCTGCCTCAGTTTCCCCACCTGACAGGGGTTATGGTGCTGTGCGAGGTGCCTCACTCGGGGGGTTTGGGCACTGTGGGGTGATCCAGACCCACCAGGACAGGGATGAGGTGCCCAGTGCCGCTCCCAGCCCCCCCCCCAAACCCAGCTCGGGGCCATCCTGGGGCTGCGGAGGGGCTCGGGGTGACCCGCTCCCGTCTGGGCTCTCGAGGGGGACGGGAGCTGTCAACCCCACAGCGCGCTGCCGAGGTTTGCCTGCCTGTCCCTGCCGGACCTGCCAGGCCGGGGGCTTTGCTCTGCTGGGAGGCATCGAGATACCCCTGGGGATTAACAACGCCGGTTCGTTAGCCAGCATGCAACATCGCCCGCTGAGCCCGCAGCTGGGACCATCCCGTCTGTCCCCCAGCCCGTGGCTGGGACGGAGACTGGGGTCACCTCCCTCGCCCCACTTGGGGTCTGGCTCCTTGCTGAAGCACGTCTCGTCATCCCCTGCCTCCAGCAGCTGGGGATTCGGGGCTCCAGCATCGCCCCCGGCACACCACCCCGGGGCTGGCATCCCCCCGTGCTGGTCCAGCTGCCATAAATGAGTGGGGAAGGGGCTTTCCAGGTGGAAGACCCCTGGATCCAGCCCTCATCCCCTCTATCCCATCCTCCCCCATGGAAGGGGTTAAGCTGGGGATGGGCCCTGGGCCAAGCTGGTGTCACCCTGACACTGTGGTTTGCCACAGAAACTCAGGCAGGCTCAGCTGTGCTGCTGGAGACACACGGGGAACCCACGGGTGGGGGGGCACGGGAACACAGGGCGATGGCTTGGGGTGGCCCACAGTGGGGGCTGGGAAAAGGTGTCCCCGTGCCAATGTCAGCTACGGGGCTGGGCTGAGACCGGAAAACTCATCTCACCCCCCGGAGGCTGGTGCTTCGCCAGTGGGGTTTGAAGTGATGCTCAGATCCGGCACCCTGTGCCCCCCCAGTAGCTCATGGGTGGGAGCCCCAGGTGGGGGGCTGACCGCACGCACCCACATCCCTCTGCCCAGGTCTGGCTCCAGCGATCCCTACTGCGTGGTCAAGGTGGACAACGAGGTGGTGGCCAGGTACGGGGGACACCGTGCCACACCGGGGAGGGGACGCGCGGGGACGGGGGCTCTCCCTGGGGGTGCAGCCACCTCTCCCATCACCGGCAGGACGGCCACGGTGTGGAAGAGCCTGAACCCTTTTTGGGGTGAGGAGTACACCCTGCGCCTGCCCTGCGGCTTCCGCAGCCTCGCCATCTACGTGCTGGATGAAGACACCATCGGGTAGGGGAGACAATGGGGGGCACGGGTGGGCACTGGGGAGCCCCCCGAGGGGTGGCACGTCCCCGTCGGTGGCCTCAGCGCCTGCCACGTCTCTGCCCTCGCAGGCAGGACGACGTTATCGGCAAGGTCTCGCTCAGCCGCCGGCAGATCTCGGCTGAGCCACGGGGTGAGTGGGGGGCATGGCGCGGGGCTGGGGGCGGGGGGGGCAGTGGGACCCATCCCGGCACCATGGGGCACCCACCCTGTCCCCCTCGGCAGGCGTTGACGGCTGGCTCAGCCTGGCGCCCGTGGACCCGGACGAGGAGGTGCAGGGCGAGATCCACCTGGAGCTGCAGGTCCCTGAGCAGGGCCACCCACGGGTGCTGCGCTGCCACCTCATCGAGGCCAGGTGGGGGGGGCGGGGGGCTGGCACAGCCACCCCCAGGGTCTTATTTTTGGCTGGTGGGGTCTGGGCGGTGGTACGAGGGGAGGTGATGGGGACAGCAGTGGCACGGGGCTCATCCTCCCCTCTCGGCACCAAGAAGGGGCCTCGCTCTGTCCTGCTTGCGGACATCGATGATGCCGACCCACGTGTCACGATGCCGTGGGGTCTCAGTGGGGAATGAGCTGCCTTGGACACTGCCAGCCCCACTCGGGGATGAAGACAGGGGGACAAGGGGCAGAGCTGGGTGGCCCAGAGAGCCACGGGGTACCTGGGGATGATCCCCATCCTGGGTCTCCTGCCAGGTTTCTCCCCTTTAGGCTTCGAAATTGGGGGAAACCAAGGCATGCCCCAGGCTGCCCCTCTGCTTTGATCTGGTGTGCGTGTGCACACGTGTGCACGTGTGTCTGCATGTGTGCATGCGTGTGCCCACACACGCGGCTGCCAGACGGAGGGATGCTGGCAGCGGAGCAGGCAGCAGAGGCAGCATCCCGCTGCCATGGCAACCGAAGCGGGTACCAAGGCAACGGGATGGCCATGGGGACAGCCAGGAGGGACAGCAGAGCCCCCCCCCGCTGTGCCATTTGGCCCCCAGGGACCGGAGGAAGGGATTCGGAGCAGGAGCGCTGGGGAATGGGGACCCACTCTCACCAGCATCCCCCCCGCCCCGCACCTTCTGGTTGCCCCATGGGTGCCTGGTGTGCCCAGGAGAGCTGGGGGAGAAGGGGCGACATGGGGGTGCAGGGACCACATTGGCGGGGATGGGCTCCCTGCCCACTGCACCCCCCACTGACCCCCACCTCCCCACAGGGACCTGGCCCCCCGGGACCTCTCGGGCACCTCGGACCCCTTTGCCCGGGTGTCGTGCTGCGGGCACACATTGGAGACGGCCGTGAGTCAGGGTGCTGGGTGCTGGGACCCAGAGGCTCAGGCACCTCGACCCCCACGGCCACCGGTCCCCGCCCCTGGCAGGTGATTAAGAAAACCCGTTTCCCACGCTGGGACGAGGTGCTGGAGTTCGAGGTGGCGGAGGGCGAGCTGGGGGAGGCCGTGCTGAGCGTGGAGGTGTGGGACTGGGACATCGTGGGCAAGAACGACTTCTTGGGACAGGTGAGGAGCTCCGGGCACAATGGCATGGGGCAGGGGCCTGGGGGGCAATTCTGCACCCCCGTTGTCTCCCCGTGCTTGGGGTTCAGGTGACCACAGGTCAGCACCCGTGGGGATGGGCACAGGGGTACGTGCACCCGCTGAGCCGGGGGCAGTGCCACATCCAGACTCCCTGTGTGTCCTGGGTTCTCCCCTGCGAGGAGGGGTCCCCGCTGGTGGAGAAGCGGGGTGCAGCACGGGGTGCTGGTGCATGCCCCCCCACCTCAGACCCTGCCTCTGGCCCCTCCAGGTCGAGTTTCCCCTGGACACCATCCGCACAGACCCCACCAAGGGCTGGTTCCAGCTCCTGCCTTTCCCCAGCACCACCAAGGATCACGGGTGAGAGTGCAGGCAGCAGGGCCAGGCAGCTGCCTGCACCCTGCATGAGCAGCTCCCCAGGGCGGCTCTGCCCAGGGCAACACAGGGTGGCCCACCCCCATCCCAGCCGGGAAGGAGCCGGGGTGATGGAGGGCGGTGGGTGCAGGATCCGGCCGATCCCCTCCCCGTGTCTTTGCAGGGGGCAGCTGGGTGCCCTGCGGCTGGCGGTGCGGCTGGTGGAGGACAGGGTCCTGCCCCCCCCGTACTACCAGCCCCTCATCCAGCTCCTCACCGAGCCCATCCTCTGCCCGGGCCAGGTGGGTACTGGGTCTTGGGGGGGACTTTCAGGGGTGGCCGAGGACCAGACCGGCGCGGGGGCCTTGCCATGCCCACCCTGCCCTCCCCACAGCCCCCTGACGGCACGGCCCTGGCCGTACTGGAGGAGGTGACCTCGGGGGAGAGCCGGCAGGACGTGGCCACCAAGCTGGTGAAGATCTTCTTGGGGCAGGGGCTGGCCGTGCCCCTCCTGGACTATCTCACCACCCGCGAGCTGGCCAGGACCAGTAAGTGCCAGGGCTGGGGGCACCACCTGCACCCCCCTCAGCCAGGAAAGTGGGTTGTCAGGGTCCCCCCAGACCCTGATAGGGAGAAGAGTGGGGCCACCAAGGGGAAGGCAGGAAAGGTGCCACATGTCTGTGGGGTCGGGCACACCAGGGATGGCTGGGGCATCGCCCCGTGCCCACCTCGCCGTGACATCTGCACTCTTCCAGCGGACCCCAACACCCTCTTCCGATCCAACTCGCTGGCCTCCAAGTCCGTGGAGCAGTTCATGAAGGTGAGCGTGGAAGGGGACACCGGAGGGGTCCCCGCTGCGCCCCTCCCATGATGGCATCGGGGCACAGAGCCAAGTTGCATCCCAGCAGGGCATCTGGGAACAGTTTGGGGACAAAGATGGTGACTTCCCATCCTTTGCAGGTGGTGGGGCTGCCCTACCTGCACGAGGTCCTGAAGCCCGTGGTGAACCGCATCTTTGAGGAGAAGAAGTATGTGGAGCTGGACCCCGGCAAGATGGAGCTGAGCCGCAGCAGGCGAGTGCTGGGGGATGGCTGGGGTGGGGGGACATGGAGCCTGGCACGTGCCAAATCATCCCCATCCCAGTGTCCCCTGCGGGAGGGGGTCGCCCATTGCTGCTGAGCCCGTGGGTCACCTCGATGGCTTTTGGCCAACTCGGGGTGGCCCATTCCTGAGCATCGGGTGCCCCCTGACCCAGCGGCGTTTCCGCAGGAGGATCTCCTTCAAGGGGTCCCTGTCGGAGGCACGGGTGCGGGAGAGCAGCCTGGAGCTGCTGAAGGGCTACCTGGGGGACATCATCGACGCCATCGCGGGCTCGGTGGAGAAGTGTCCCCTCCTCATGAGGGTGGCCTTCAAGCAGCTCCGCAGGCGGGTGGAGGAGCGGTTCCCCTCGGCACAGCACGAGGTAGGGCAGGTGGCAGGGCCGGGGCTGGGGCTCCGCACGCCGCCGGGACCACCGGCCTGAGCCCTGAGCTGTCCCTTTCCCCGGCCAGGAGGTGCGGTACTTCTCCATCAGTGGGTTTCTCTTCCTCCGCTTCTTTGCCCCTGCCGTCCTCACCCCGAAACTCTTCAGCCTCCGGGAGCAGCATGCTGACCCCCGCACCGGCCGCACGCTCCTGCTGCTCGCCAAGGTGTGGGGAGCCCGGGGAGGGACGGGGATGCTGGGGAGAGATGGGGACCTTAGGGAGGGATGGGGACACTGGGAAGGGATGGGGACCCTTGGGGAAGGATGGGAAGCCCAGGAAGGGATGGGGACCCTTGGGGAAGGATGGGAAGCCCAGGAAGGCATGGGGACCTTGGGGGAGTGATGGGGACCCTGGGGAGGGTTGGAGACCACTGGAAGAGATGGAGACCCTTGGGAAAAGATGAGGACCCTGGGGAGGGTTGGGGACCCCAGGGAGAGATGGGGACCCCAGGGGGGGACGGTGAACCTGGGGAAGGACAGGGATGCTGGGGAGGTGTGCGGACCCTGGGGAGGGACAGGGGTCTCAAGGAGGGATGGGGACTCCAGAGAGGGACCCCAGAAAGGACAGAGACATCAGGGAGGGATGCGGACCCTCCGAAAAGATGGGGACCCATAAAGGATGGGGATGCCAGGAAGGGATGGGGACCCCAGAAAGGCAGGGAGACCCAGTGGAGGGATGGCAATCGCAGGGAATGGGAGAGGGCAGAGCCATTCCTGCCCCCATGCCACATGCCACGGGCTGGCTCCTTCCCACACCGCTCGAGGCCAGCCCTGCTCATCACCGGGCCATGCCACCCCACGTCGGACACAGCGCAGGAGCCAGCCTGGGGCAGCACTTGGGTCCCATTACCCCCCACCCCCCAGCTGCTCTGCTTTTCCACTTTCCTCCCCAATTCCCAAGCCCCCAGGGTTCAGGGGAGCAGCAACCCCGGGGTCGCTCCCCCCCGCAGCCCCCACGCCAAGGGGGGTACGGCAGCCTGAGCCCTTTCCCACGTGGGGCAGGCGCTGCAGAGCATTGGCAACCTGGGGCTGCAGCTGGGGCAGGGCAAGGAGCCGTGGATGGCCCCGCTGCACGCCGTCCTGCTGCCCAGCGTCACCCGTGTCAAAGCCTTCCTGGACAATCTGGTCATGGTGGAGAGTGCCGAGGGTGAGTGGGCACACCGGGCACCGTGGGGGCACTGCTGGTGCCGGGGTCTGGCCGTGCCAGCACTTGATACCAAGCAGTGCCATCATCCCTGCTGTCCCCCACATCCTGGGAGCATCCTCGGGGAGAGGGACCCGCTTGGTGCCATGCGGATGGTGCCAGGATGGCTGGGGACAGGCGTCCTGGGGCTGGGGGAAGCGGTGGCACTTGGGGTGATGCCGCTGCCTCCCTGCCCGGCTGTGCCATGGCCAACAGCAGGCGAGGAGCCAGTGCTGCCAGCAGTTTTCCGTCCCCTGGCCACCATCAAGGAGGGGTACCTGCACACCCGCACGGCGGGGGGGCCTGCCCTGCTGCCCCGCTTCGCCTTCAAGAAGAGGTACTTCTGGCTCAGCACCGAGGCCCTGACCTACTCCAAGTCCCCCGAGTGGCAGGTGGGTGCTGCCTGTGACCCCCCACCCCATGCCGCGTGCCCAGGGAGGGGATGCGGGTGCAGTGAGTTGCAGTGTTTTGGGGTCCTCAGGTGCGCTGCTCCATCCCCGTGCCGTGGATGCGGGCAGTGGAGCGTGTGGACGAGGGCACCTTCCAGCACCCCCATGTCATGCAGATCGTGGCACAGGATGGTGCTGGGCAGCTCCACACCACTTACATCCAGTGCAAGGTGGGTGCCCCCCCACCCCTCCCTGGGCACCCCAGGAACACCCCACCCCAGCACCCTGGGAGCTCCCTCCCCGGCACCCCTGGATCCCATGGTGACAGTGGGAATGGTCCTGGTCGCAAATCCAGCTATACCCAAGCACCAGCTGTACTGGGAACACTGGGGTGCCCAGCCCTGGCTGTACTGGGGTCAAGGGGGTGTCTGGGCCCTGGCTGTACTGGGGAAATCGGGGTATCCTACCCTGGCTGTACTGCGGTCACTGGGGTACCAGCTCTGGGATGCTGGGATCAGTGGTGTATCCAGCCATATCTGCACTGGGGTCTCTGGGGTACCACCTCTGGGATACTGGGATCAGTGGGGTATCCAGCCATATCTGTACTGGGGTCACTGGGGTACCAGCCCTGTCTGTACTGGCATCACTGGGGTCCCAGCCCTATTTGCACTGGGATCACTGGGGTCCCCTGGCTCCTGTGGTGTGGTGTCATCTCCTCACCAGGTCCTACCTGGACACCTTTGCCATCAAACTGTCACTCCCAGTCACCTGCCCCTGGTGCCCACCACCATCCCCAGTGCCCACCCCTACCGAGGACCCAGTCGGCATTACCCGTGCCCACCTCCACCCTCCTCCTCCTCCTCCCCACTGACAGTGCCCAGCGCAGGGTGCCCGTGGGTACCCAGCGGGATGCCCCCCTCCCTCCCTGTCCCCGCAGAGCGCCCAGGAGCTGTGGCAGTGGCTCTGGGCGGTGCGGCAGGCCAGCAGCACCAACGAGGCCATGTTGCCCACTTGCCACCCGGGCCCCTACCGTGCCGGCCGCTGGACTTGCTGCCA